CTCTCTAATAAGTAAAGTCTTTAAAAAATAATACATACTTTTCACCTAATAAGTATTTTTGGGCCGACACACAAGATCATGGTAGTTCCAAGCGTACAACACGGCGATTCCACAAGTCTGTACGCTGCGCTATGCTCCCTGCAGTGCGTGTTTACCTGTCTTACGTGTCTGCCTCCCTTCTAGAATCTGAGGTTTGATCACGCCACACCCGCGAGGTGTGAAGTGCTCAGTCCAGAGCAGGCGCTGACTACAGGCTGCTCTCTGGGCCTCTCTTCCGCCACCGCATACGGTTTCCTTCTTACTCTCTGGCAGCTCTTCTGACACCTTCGTGGCCTTGTCCTCTGCTCCCTGCATGTCCGCCTGTCACTGTCTCTTGCTTCGCTCCCCTAGTGAGCTGGGTGACCTTTCCCACCAGCCTTTACCCTTCCGGGCGCGGGTGCAGCCCGATCCTCCTGGCTAGCCGTGTGCCCCGTGCCCTTGCACGCAGGCTCTGTCTGGGCGCTCCACAGTACTTCTCCCTCCAGCTTTGCCTCAACCACTATCTCCTTCGTCTCATTAGCCACGAACTCCTGCCAATTCCGTCTCCGCAGCGTCTCTGAAGAAGCCTCGTCTCCAGCAGGTGCCAGCCACGGTCGGTAGCTCGGATCCCGCCTGGGCGCCCCCGCTGTCCCAGCCCCAGGCCTGCCTGCCCTGCCCCTGCGCACCTGTCGCCCTCCCGCTCCCGGAGCCTCCCGGAGCCCGGCTTCCGCCCGCCGCCCCGCACAGGCTCCAGCGCTCAGCCCCGGCCCGGGCGCGTCCTCGCCGCCGCGCACTGACCATCGCGTCCCTCCATGGCGGCCCCTCGGACCAGGGCGGCCCAGCGCCGAGCGTCCCGGGCGTCGAGGAAGTGCAGGCTCAGGGCGCCGGGCCCTCCCGGCGGAGGCTGCAGGTCATGCCGGCTGGGGCCTCGGACTCCAGGCCCCTCCGTGTAGGAGACGGACTCCAAGGGCCACTCCGAACCGCCCTGCGGAAGGCAGAGTCGGGCCACTTAGGCGGCCCCGGGGCGGTCCTCGCACCGCCGCGCCGCGCCCCCGCCGCCCGCACTCACCGCCCCGGGGCCCGCGCCCAGCAGCTGCAGCCGGAGACGCCCGGGCCGCTCGGGGTTCGCGCTCAACTGCAGCCTCCGCAGCTGCGCCTCGGCGTCCGGGCCCGCGCCCAGCGGCCTCACCGTGGCCTGCACCGCCAGCAGCACGGCGGCCGGGCCCGGGCCCGAGGGCGGCGCCATCCCATCTCCGGTCCGGCCGCGCTTCCGTGGGCTCGGGGCTCCGAGCGCCTCGGCCGACCGGAAACTGGGGCCGCGCGCTTGGGGTTCCGGCCGACACCAGAGCGTCGGAGCGCCAGCCTCCCGGTCCCGCTCCGCCCGGGACCCACACGGCCCGGAGGCTCGGCGGCGGGGGGGGGATCCAACGGTCCGCGCCCACCCCCCAGCGTCCGGCCGGTGCGGGACGCAGTCCCCGGGCTCCTTCCGGCCCGCCCCCCGCCCCGCCGGCCCACCCCGGGGGCCGCCAGCCACTCGCGGGAGCGCGGGCCGACAGCAGGGGCGGGACGCGCGAGGGGCGGCAGCCAATGAGCACCAGGGGAGGAGGCGGGCTCGGGCGGCCCGGAGCGTGACGGACAGGCGACGCAGCCAGTCGGAGCGGGCGCGAGGAGTGAGCGACGTCAGCCGCCCCCAATGGCGCTCCGAGCTCCAGGTCCCGACGGCCGGAGCCGGCCACTCAGGGGCGGGGGGCCGGGCCTTGCGGACGCTTGTTGTTGTCCGGCCCGGGGAAGCAGAAGTCGCTCGGCCGCTCCTGCGCTCGTTCGGGCCTCGGGTGGCGGTCGGCGGGCAGGTCGGTCGCGGCAGTCGGTCGCCGTGCAGGGGCGAGGCTATGTCGCGGTGGCAGCCCGGCAGGGCCGGCAGGGCCGGGAGTAACGGGACGTCGCCGCGGAGCCTCTTCCCCCGGATACAGTGCGGCCCGAACGGAGGCCGCGCCGCCGCCCTCCGGTCCTGAGGAGCCCGCGCTGCCCGGAGCCCACAGCGCCCTCTTACCCGCGCCGACGTCCGCCGGCCCGACCCGGCCCGGCCCCAGCGAGCGCCGCGCCAGCAGGTGGGTGTCCGCCCGGCGCCGGGCGCCCAGGTCAGGCCTCCAGAACTCCAGCTCCCAGCGGACTTGGCGCCGGCGCGCGTGCGCGACCTGGGGCGCGCGGCCTCCTGGGACGTGTAGTTCTCCGCGGCGGGCTCGGGGCTTTCCTTGGCCCGGGCGGAGAGGCGGGTGCGGCCGCCTGACCCCGGAGCGCCCCGCGGCCGGCCCCGGGCCCTTCGGGGGTCCTGCGGCCTGCCTCTGCCTCTGTTCCGCGCTGTCCAAGGAGCTCGGCGCACTTGCGGAGAGGGACGGAGAAGCCTATGGGTTTCCTGTGCGCCTCGCTGGGGAGCCCGTAGGACTGGGGAGAGCGCTGCCCAGGTGACCGACTGCAGGCCCCCGCCTTGGTGTGCGGGTCCTCACCGGGCGCAGGAGTCGGCCCCTGGGCTACTGCAGGGGTCCCGCGGGCTCGCGGCGACGCCCCCCACCCCCCTTGGTGGGTGATGCTCTTGCGGCGGGACGGCCGTGTCCCGGGAGATGAAGCCCCAGACCCTAGCATGAGCGGGACCCCAGGGCGCCCTGGGTGTCGGGGTGGGGAGCAGGGGCTGGCCGAGCTGGAGCTTCGGCTTGCCGCCCTCAGGTAACAGGATCTGCTCTGCCTCTCCTGCCCGTGCCGACGGCAGGGGACGGACCCAGCTTGTTGCTAACGGCTCCACTTACCAGCAGGGAGGCCAAAGGCTGAGCCCCAGGGCCCAGGTCCTCATAGACTGGCCTCCCGTCCTCAGGCAGCACTAGCCCCTCTGAGCACAGGACCCCCCCCCCAAAGGACATGAAGCTGTTGGAGAACTCCAGCTTCGAGGCCATCAACTCACAGCTGACAGTGGAGACCGGCGATGCCCACATCATCGGCAGGTGAGGCCCGGCCTCCAAGGGCTCCCGTCTCCCAAGTCACCGCGGCCCTGCGTTGAGCCCCATGGGTGGCAGGCTCCATGGTCCCCCCTGCCCCCTGCAGGATCGAGAGCTACTCATGTAAGATGGCAGGAGACGACAAGCACATGTTTAAGCAGTTCTGCCAGGAGGGCCAGCCCCACGTGCTGGAGGCACTGTCTCCGCCCCAGACCTCAGGCCTCAGTCCCAGCAGGTGAGCCGGGGCAGAGTCTGCCCGCCCGGGGCCGTGGGGTGCAGCGCCTGTGGGCTCATGCTCTTCTCTGTGCAGACTGAGCAAGAGCCAGGGGGGTGAGGATGAAGGCCCGCTGAGCGACAAGTGCAGCCGCAAGACCCTCTTCTACTTGATCGCCACACTCAACGAGTCCTTCCGGCCTGACTATGACTTCAGCACAGCCCGAAGCCACGAGTTCAGCAGGGAACCCAGCCTCAGCTGGGTGAGGGCCGGGTCAAGGGTGGGCCCGCAGCCCCCAGCTGTCTTTACCGCCCTGCCTACTTCAGTGGCCTCTGGCTCTGCCCCGATGACGCGTCCTGTCCTGCAGCCTAGTCACCCCAACTGTGACCGCCCTAGGTGGTGAATGCAGTCAACTGCAGTCTGTTTTCGGCGGTGCGGGAGGACTTCAAGGCCTTGAAGCCACAGCTGTGGAACGCGGTGGACGAGGAGATCTGCCTGGCCGAGTGTGACATCTACAGGTAGGCTGGCATCCCTGCAGGTGGGCCCCGGGTGTGTGCGGCACTTGGGCCTTCATACTGCCTCTCGCCTCACGCCCCCCAGTTACAACCCAGACTTGGACTCAGATCCCTTTGGGGAGGATGGCAGCCTCTGGTCCTTCAACTACTTCTTCTACAACAAGCGGCTTAAGCGGATTGTCTTCTTCAGCTGCCGCTCCATCAGGTTAGCACCTGTCGGCCTCCTTTCCCTTAGCTCCTGTGGGGCCCACACACCACTTCCCCCACTGTGCCCACGCCATTCCTGATTTTGTCCTCCCTGGACCTCCTCCCTGGGGTCAGCAACAGGCCAGGGGTAGGCAGTCCTAAGACCAGTTCCCACACCTCCCCCAGTGGATCCACCTATACTCCCTCGGAGGCAGGCAACGAGCTGGACATGTTGCTGGGGGAGGAGGAGGAGGAGGAGGAAGACGGCAGAGGTGGAGGCAGTGAGGGCGGACTCGAGGAGACCAGCGCTATGGAGGAGGACAGGTGTGTGATGGTTGCTGTGGCCTGGCTCTCTGGAGTCGCGTGGATGGGCAGAGTGGGTACCCCCTGGCCTGATCTGGCTGTCGGCTCCTCTGAGCTCACCGTGCGCCGCCTTCTACCCAGGCTCCCGGTGATCTGTATGTGAGGCCCAGGAGCAGAGGCCCCAGCTTCATTCAGCTTCAACCAGTGCCTGGAACTGCCCACTCCAGGGGCCCCAGGGCCTCCCCAGCTGGTGGCCAGCCCCTGGCCCTGCCTCGGGCACCGCACCGCCGAGGCCACGCCCACCTAGCCCTTTGGCTCCTGCCTCCGGATGTCTACTTACCCCACAGGCTCCAGCTGCCCCTGCTGTGGTTGGACGATAGCACAGGGCCTGGTGGGAAGAGTCACTGCCCTTTCCCAGTGAACTGACAGAGGCAAGGACAGCTGGACTACAGAGTTTATTTTTATATTTTGTCCGGATCGGGCCTGGGCCTGCACACTCCAGCCCTAAGGGCCTGAGACCCAGTCAGCAGGCCCCTGTGGTCACCACCCTGGGCTCGTCCAGCCCCCGGCGCCCACCTGTACCCCCTCCCCCACCTCGCCCGTTGGGCAGCGTGCACTGAGTGTCACTTTGCTGCAGCTGGTTTGTTTCCAATAAAAATTTCTGTGACTTAGTGGGGACCTAGGCTCTGCGCTGTGTTGGGGGTTGGGTCTGCGTCGAAGGCGGGGCCTACCGGCGTCTGGTAGCCTAGCAACGGTAGCAGGGCCGTTAGGCGGCCTGGACCTGCAGCCGCCAGGATGGAGACCGAGGTGTCAGATGCGAGTGACAGCCAGCTTCTGGACCAGGACCTGTATGATACTGACAGCTACGACGTCCCGGACCCAGGGCTGCTCAAGGAAAGGAATGGTGAGGGGGCCCGGCCTCGCCCACGCCCCCATGACAGCAGGCACACCTCCCTCAGGCCTCCTTACACCACCGCCCTGCCGCAGCCCCGGGCAGTCCCTTGACCCGGTGCCCGCAGCCTAGAGCCAGAGCTCCGAGACCACTCTGACAGCGCTCCCCCTGCTGACCCGCAGACTCGTTTCCGGAGCCAGTCCCACCGCTTTTTACCAGCAACTCTCGGCAGCAGAACATGACCCCGGGTGCCCGCGCCCGCCAGCTGTGGCTGCTCCTCCGTGCAGGCCTCCGAGACTTCGTGGAAAAGGTGGGGCTTGCCTGTGGCCCTGCCTCTTCCTCTAGGCGTGTCTAGCATTTCCCCCACCTCTTCCCCTAGGTGTGGCTAGCACCCCCCACCTCTTTCCCTAGGTGCCTAGCACCCCCCCACCTCTTCCCCTAGGTATGCCTAGCACCCCCCTGCCTGGGGCCCCCACCTCTTCCCCTAAGTGTGCTTAGGACCCCCCACCTCTTCCTCTAGGTGTGCTAGAACCCCCCACCTCTTCCCCTAGGCGTGCCTAGCATCCCCACCTCTTCCTCTAGGTGTGCCTAGCACCCCCCACCTGTTCCCCTAGGCGTGCCTAGCACCCCCCACCTCTTCCCCTAGGCGTGCCTAGCACCTCCCCCACCTCTTTCCCTAGGTGTGCCTAGGACCCCCCCACCTCTTCCCCTAGGTATGCCTAGCACCCCCCTGCCTGGGGCCCCCACCTCTTCCCCTAGGTATGCCTAGCACCCCCCTGCCTGGGGCCCCCACCTCTTCCCCTAAGTGTGCTTAGCACCCCCCACCTCTTCCTCTAGGTGTGCCTAGCACCCCCCACCTCTTCCTCTAGGTGTGCCTAGCACCCCCCACCTCTTCCCCTAGGTATGCCTAGCACCCCCCTGCCTGGGGCCCCCACCTCTTCCCCTAAGTGTGCTTAGCACCCCCCACCTCTTCACCTAGGTGTGCCTAGCACCCCCTCACCTCTTCCCCTAGGCGGGTGCCCTGCCTGACACCCTGAGGCTCCACTAGGCAGGCACACTACCTCTCCAGCTCCCCATCCTACCCCATCATTGACCACAGGCCTGCCCCTCCTGGCCCATAGGAAAAGAGAGCCGAGCTGTGCGTGGCACGCTTGACCCATGGGCTAGAGCTGCTGCGCCATCTGAAAGTGGCAGCCGAGCTGTGCTGGGTGGCACAGGATCCAGTGGGCAGACGCTTCGTGGTGCTGGATGGTGCCGGCTACCTCCACCTGCACAGAGAGGATGGCTGGGCTTATGAGAAGCTACAGGCCCCAGCCGTGCTCACTGGGCTGGTGGCTGTGCCTGGCCCCCTGGGTGCTGTGAGCCACTTCGTGGGCTGGGGCCCGGAGGGGCTGGCCATACTAAGGCCTGACTTCAGCCTACTGTGGCTGAGCAAGCCAGGGGTGGGCGGGATGCCGGACCACCAGCCCATCTGCTGCCTGCCAGTGCCCAGCCTGGGGCTGTTGCTAGTGGCATTGGCAGGTGGCAGCCTGGCGCTCTGGAAATTCCGTTCAGGGGGTCGCCGTCTGGTGCTGTGGGGCTCACCTCTGCGGCTGCCACCAAGCTCTGCAGTTACACTCACCCGTTTGGTTCTGGGGCCCCTGTCTTCCCACCAAGTCCCATGCTGCTTCGCGGCCTATGGCTCTGCCGTGCTCATCTTTGATCTGCACACCTGGGCCCTCGTAGACGTCCGCCGGGACCTGCACAAAATGTGAGGGAGGGACCTAGTGACCGGGAAAAGAAGGACAGTGTGGGGGAGGGGTGGGGGTGCTGCAGAGGTGAGTCCGGGAGGGTGAGCAGCCGGTGGCAGGGGCTGCAGGGGCCTCATCTTCCCCTTCAGCACTATCTCGGACTTGGCCTACTGCCTCGAGGTAGACGCAGTGGTGACAGCCTCTCGGGACAGCACGGTGAAGGTGTGGGAGACCGACTGGCGGCTCCGGATGGTGTTCATGGGCCACACAGGTGTGCCACCCCACCGCAGCCCCTGGGGCCCGCCTGTGTCCACCGCGGGCTGCCCGGATGCCCGCCCCAGTGCCCGGCTGCGCCCAGCGACCGTGCCCTCCCACAGGCCCTGTGACCGCCGTGGCCGTGCTCCCCAACTCGTCCCTGGTGCTGTCCGCCTCGCAGGACGGGACGCTGCGCACGTGGGACCTGCAGGCGGCGGCCCAGGTGGGCGAGGTGGCGCTGAGCGGCTGGGCCCGAGACGCGGCGGCGGCGCGCGTGGACCGCCTGCTGGCGCCCGCGGGCCCGGGCTGCCCGGTGCTGTCGTTGAGCGCGCGCGGCGTGGCCCTGTGGCGCCCCCGCGAGCTGTACGCCCCGCTGGCGCGGCTGTCGGCGCCGGTGCTGCTCGTGCAGGTGGCGCCCGCGCTGCCCGCTGCCCCGCGCGCCCTGCCCGCGCGCCTCGTGTGCGCCTGCGCCGACGGCTCGGTCCACCTGCTGGCGGCGGCCACGGGACGCCCGGTGAGCGCGCTGCTGCTGGGGGCCGCGGAGCCCGCGGCCGCGCTGCTCTACTGCCTGCCCCACGAGGCACTGTGGCTGCTGACGCGCGCCGGCCACCTGCTGTGCGCCACTGCCGCGCGCCGCCCCATGCGCCTGCTGCTGCGGCTGCGCCCCCCGCCCGCCCCCGCGCCGCGGCCCTGCTGCCTGCACCTGTACAACCACCTCGCCGACCCGCGCAGTGCCCTCGCTGCCTGGGAGGCCGTGCGCCGCCGCGGCGGGGAGCTGCCCCCTGGCCACCTGGCCGGCGCCTGGGACGACAAGAACCGGTGGGTGCCGGGCCTGCAGGGGGGGTGGGTGGCAGGGCCCGCGCCAACGCGCTGATGTCGCGCTAGGTACCTGCCCGTGGTGGGCCACACGGATGGCACCCTGTCGGTCCTTGAGTGGCGCCACGCGAAGACCGTCTTCCAAACGGCGGCACACAGCCCAGGCCCGGTCACCGCCATTGCGTCCACCTGGAACAGCATCGTGTCCTCGGGTTCATACCTCCCCTTGCCCCGCGGCCGGCCTGGGAACCCTCCGTCCCGCACAGGGTCCAGCCCCGGCTCCTGCCCCCACAGGCAGCGGCGACCTGACCGTGAAGATGTGGCGAGTCTACCCCTACGCGGAGGAGAGCCTGAGCCTGCTGCGGACCTTTTCCTGCTGGCACCCGGTGGTGGTGCTCTGTGCGCTGGGGAAGCGGGTCACTGTGGGCTTTGAGGACCCCGACACTGCCACCTACGGCTTGGTGCAGTTCGGCCTGGGCAACAGCCCCCGCTGTGATCACCGGCCCCAGGATGACCCCACAGACCACATCACTGGTGAGCGGGCGGGCAAGAGTGAAGCCCAAGCCACCATGTGGCCCTGGTCCCTGACCCCAAGCCTTGGTCCCTCAGGCCTGTGCTGCTGCCCCACGCTCAAGCTGTATGCCTCTTCCAGCCTGGACTGCACCGTCCGCATCTGGACGGCGGAGAACCGCCTGCTGCGGTGGGCTGGGGCTGGGAGGGCGGAGGGCGGGGTGGGGGCCTGTGGGCCACTGGCTGGGGTCTCCTACCTCCACCCCCACCAGAGCCTGGCAGCTTGGGGGCGGGGTTGTCCCTGTCCCGGCTTCCTGCTTGGTGGAGCGGGCCAGACCCTTGCCCTGCACTCCCCCAGGCTCCTGCAGCTGGACAGCCCCCCTCAGGCCCTGGCCTTCTGCAGCAACAGTGGGGACCTGGTGTTGGCTCTGGGCTCCCGACTCTGCCTGGTGTCTCATAGGCTCTACTTGCCCACATCCTACCTGGTCAAAGTATGCAGGAAGCCCAGGACGTGCAGGAGGCCGCTGCTGTGGGCAGACAAGCCCCCGAGGCCAGGGCTATGCGTGCCTTTCTCCCGTTCAGAAGCTGTGCCAGAATGTCCCTGAGGTGCTGGATGACCCTCCACTGCCCCTGACCAGCCAAGAGTCGCTGACCTCAGGCCAGCTGCAGAGGTTCACCAAGCTGCATGGGGCGGCCAGTCTTAGGTGTGCCTGCAGGCCCCGCGGAGCGGTCCTGGAGGCCCCTGCCTGACTCCCTGAGTCAGGGCCTGGCCGTGCGGCCCCAGAGCTCCCAGGCCACACGGGCCACCCCAAGCCTATCCTAGCCCTCCCATCCCTCTTCCTGACTGCTGGCTGTGCCCTGCCAGAGGCCTGGCCACCCCCACCCCCAGGTCTTTATCCCAGCATCCGCCCCATCCCGCCGCTGATGATGCTGGTGTCCCACCTCTATCTGTCCCTGTCTGCAGCACAGACTTGTCTTTCATCCATCACCAGACGGGAACACCTCAGCAACCAGTGTTGGAGGAGGTGGGTTGGGTCCCGACCCCCTCACCACCCCAAAGTCCCAACCTGCACCCTGCACCCTGCCCAGGCCCAGGCCACTCCCTTTCAGTCCTTGGGATAGGTCTGGGATCCCTGTGGTTGTCTGGGAGGCAGATGGCAAGACCGAAGGAGGACTGAGCTGGCCCTTGACCCTTGGCCCCGACCCCAGGACTTGGAAGCCCTAGTTACTCGGGATCAAGACCTTCAGCAGCTGAGACTGGGGCTGGTGGTCCCAGCAGCCCAGCCCCCACCTTCCTGGCAACAGCAGCAGGAGGCCTTTGACAACTACCTGTGCCTGGTCTATGGCCCGGGCTTTCTGGTAAGTGTGAAGCCTCCCCCAGCCACCCTTTGCCCAGGGCCTCCGAGGCTGCCTGTCTCCCCTGCATCCCTCCCAGGGCGTGCCTTCTGGAAGGGAGTCCCAGCAGGAAAGCACTGTGACCCTCATAGTGGAGAGAGAGACCTGGGACGTGTGCACCTTGCCCAGAGCTGCCAGCAGTGTTCGGCAGGCGGGGGTCTGTGCCGAAGCCCCAACAGTGCCAGCAGCCCACTCCCTACAGGACCCGGGAGCCGTGGGCCAGCACCTTGCCCACCCTCCTCAAGTCCACATGCCCACCCCACACACACACCGGGGGGTGCACAGCAGGGCATCCCAGGTAAGGCTTCCCACCCCTCCCATCTCTACCCTGACCCTGTGACCCTGCTGCCACCCTGTGACTCCTCGTCCCTCACCCAAGCTGCTGGCCTGCTCCTCCCTGAGCGGTAACCTGGGCCTCAGTCTGGACCTGCAGCTGCAGCGGCTCCCAGGGGAGAAGCGTGTGGGCCCGGGCCCACCGACCCCCAACCTTCAGCACAGGGTGAGGGGGGCTGCTGCCTACCCCAGAGCAGGGCTGCAGGGGCACTGAGGGTCCATGCTTGGCTCTGAGCCCCTCTCCTGTCCCCAGGTTCCCCTCTTGACAAAGAGGCAGCCCAGGGAGCTTCTTTCCAACCTCCGAGGCTTCTTTCCTGCTGCCATTGAGCACTACAAGGTGAGAGTCCCTTGCTCTTCCCAGAGGCACCTCCCTCATGCAGAGGCAACTTTCTTATGCACCCCATCTTCCCTTTGCTGCTAATCTTGCGCTCGAGTCTGACTTGAGAGCCATGCCTGCCTGCTGCCCTCCACCCACCTCCTGGCCAGCCTGGTTGTGGTGCTGCTGTTCTCTGTGGGCCCTGACTCCTGGCTCTCTGGGGACCAGCTGCCAGAGGCCCAGAGATTCCCAGAGAAGACACCGGGCGAAGCCAGAGCCTCTGCCAGCTGATTGTGCCCGCATACCTCCTTCCCGGTTAAAGTGCTGGGTGTGTCCTGTATGGACTTTGTCTGGAAGACCAGAGTCCTCTCCATTTAGAGCAGCAAAGTCCATGGATGTTGGCTTTGCAACTTGCTACCTTCCCCACCTGTCCCACCCTAGATACCCAGGGGGGGCCACACTCTGGCCCTGTCATCTGCCTGGGTGGGTGCTGATCCTTCCCGTAGCTGTGCCATCGACCCAAACCCGCAGCACCCCCTCCGAGCTCCTCCCACTGACCCCCTTCATTGCTATAGACAGCTCTGTTCCAGGGCTGGGGGCCTGGTCCCTGGAGAGCATGTGGGGGTGTCAGCGCCCCCCAGCTTCTCCTCAGTCGTCACAGCTGCCATCTCACTGACTACTCTTCTGCTTGGTTTCTTTCCAAAGGTCCTCTTTGCCTGTTTGTGTGTTTGGGGGTGTCAGCTGAGAAAAGAGGCAGAACTGAAATGAAATGAAAGCATTTATTTGGGGTCTTAGAATTCCAATTCGGGGAGCAGAGATTTGGTAGCAATCCAAATCGAGTCCTACTGAGGAGTAAAAGCCAGGGGACTTTTTTTTTTTTTTTAAGATTTTATTTATTCATGAGAAACAGAGAGAGAGAGGCAGAGACACAGGCAGAGGGAGAAGCAGGCCCCAGAGGGAGAAGCAGGCCCCATGCAGGGAGCCCGACAAGGGACTCCATCCAGGGTCTCCAGGATCACGCCCCGGGCTGAAGGTGGCGCTAAACCGCTGCGTCACCCGGGCTGCCCAGCCAGGAGACTATCAGCAAATTGCAGGAGCACTAAGAGACTTACACAGTTGTTCTCCAAAAGTTAGGATTGGAAGAGGTAATTACATTGCACACTCCACTGGTTTTCTGAGTACTTTAGTTTGTTTACAGGAAAATAGCTTTGTCGAGTGTCCACTTTTTTTTTTTTTTTTTTTAGGATCTTATTTTTAAGCAATCTCTACACCCGATGTGGGGCTGGAACCCACAACCCTGAGATAGAGAGTCACAGGCTTCGGGACTGAGCCCCCAGGGGGCTCTGCAGAGTGTGCACTTTATTCTGGTCAAAGATGCAGGGCAGCATTCCTGTGTTCAGCGTGGCCGGTTCCATATGATTCCTCTTTCAAAAACAGGATAGAGGGGATCCCTGGGTGGCTCAGTGGTTTGGCGCCTGCCTTTGGCCCAGGGCGCGATCCTGGAGTCCCGGGATCAATTCCTGTGTCGGGCTCCCGGCATGGAGCCTGCTTCTCCCTCTGCCTGTGTCTCTGCCTGTGTCTCTGCCTCATTCTCTCTCTCTCTATGTCTATCATAAATAAATAAATAAATAAATAAATAAATAAATAAATAAATCTTTAAAAAAAAAAAACAGGATAGAGTTTTAGTTCCCAAATCGTCTGTAATGTTCAGAGGTTTCACCCAAGTTCACGTGGACAGGGGGTGTGAGCCCAGTTGAGCTGCCCGAGACCTGGCTGGCAGCAGGGGCTGGTGCTGGGGGTGCCAGGTGCCCCCTGAGGTGGGGGTCAGCTCGGCCTGTCAGCCGGCCCCCCGTGTTTCCTTCCCCAGAACCTGCAGACGCCCATCTGCTTCCCGGGCAGCGTGCCCAACTCCGTGGTCCTGCAGTACATGTGGCTTCCCGAGGAGGTCAGCGGCCTCAGGGCCCTCGCCCAGATCTCCAGCCGAGGCAGACACGAGGCAAGGGGGCGCGGGGATCCCCGCCCTGGGGCTCTGCAGGCAGGGGCCTGAGTTCCCCGCAGTGTGCCAGCCCAGTGGTCACCTGTGCCCTCCGCTGCGCAGGCGAAGAGGAGCCTGGATGACGTGTGGCTGCCACGGCGCATCAGGCGGCGCCAAGCCAGGAATCACCAGAAGCTGATCCAGTGGTTGGGGGAAGAGGAGGAGGAGGAAGAGGAGGAGGAGGAGGAGGAGCGGAATCTGGACTGGGCCTCAGATTACCTGAGCACAGAGGAGCAGCTCTTGGAGTTGGAGGATCTGGAGGCGCAGGTAGGCGCGGGCGGGGGCGGGGCTGCGTTGGGAGTGGAGGGGGCTGCCGCGGGAGGGGCGGGGCTACGGTGGGAGGGGGCGGGGCTGCGCGGGGAGAGGTCTGCAGCCGCCCCCCCCCCCCCCCCCCCCGCGCCCCGCAGGCCCCCGAGAACCTGGCCCTGCTGCGCGCGGGCGCCAGGACCGACGCCAGCTCTCGCCGCCTCTCGTACCCCTACGGGCGCTCGCTCTGGAAACAGCGCTACGGGCATCTGCCCAGGTTCCTGCATTTCTTCGTCGTCCAGAACTGGTTCAAAAAGCTGTTCCCCATCTTCACCCTGGAGGTTCGGGGGCTCGGGCGCCGGGGAGGCCCAGGCTGGTGGGGGCGGTGGGGCCGTGCAGGGCACAGGGCGTCAGCACGCGGTGCCCGCAGGCCTACCCCGAGGTGGGCACGGCGGAGGGCCTGGCCTCGCTGTTCACCGATCTGCTGTGCGAGGTATCCTGGGCCGACTGCGTGCACATCCTGCGAGCGCTGCTGAGGCTGCTGCCCGACGTGAGCAGGGACCTTCGGGACCGGCTGCAGGACGTCCTCGTGCGCCTGCTCAACCTGGACCGGCCCCCCAGCCTGGAGGTGCGCCGCTGGCCCCGCCCACCGGGCCACCCCGGGGCCTTGCGCCGCCCACTGCCCACGCTTTGCTCCGCTGTGCTCAGGACCCCACGCAGAAGCGGTTCGTGATGCTGGCACTGCAGCTGCTCCTGGCCTGCTCCCTGGAGTCCCGCGAAGTGGTGCTGGAGCTCATGTCCTACTTCCTGTACTCGCCGGTCTCCTGCTGGTGAGTCTTGCTCCCCTGCTCGTCCTCCCGCCAGTGGGGGAAGGCGTCTGGAGCAGCTCCCCTCACCTGTCCCAGGCCCGAGCTCAAGAAGCTGCTGGACGGGCTGGGCCTGCAGGACCCACAGGGCTTCCTGTTCAAGGAGATGATGACCTGGGTCCAGGGCCCCGACACCAACTCCAAGGCTGCCCTGCGCAAACGCTGCTGCCAGAAGCTGGAGGAAATGATCCACTGGCTGCAGGTCCTGGTGGGCAGGTGTGGGGCAGGCCACTTGCGAGGGAGCCTCCTGTCTCTCCCCCAGCCCCCAGGCTTTCCCCAAGTCCCTGAGGGGGTGGGGAGGGGGATCCAGGTGAGGCGGGCAGCACTTGCCTTGCTCTGCGCGGGACCCTCATTGGTCCACTTCTGTCCCCCAACCCTCCATCTCTGGGCATCTTCCTGCCCCTCCCCAGGAAGGAGTCTGCTGCCAGGTCTCAAGGCTGGGGGCCACTGGTGCCTCTTGATGGAGGGGAGCCTCTGCCTTGGGCTTGGGGGGCGATGTCGACTGGCTGCTTCCCCCCACAGATGGAGTCCTTGCAGCCTTCTGTAGCCAAATTGTCAGAGATGCTGCCCAGGGTCTGCGAGCCCTCGGCACCCACACCTTCTCCCAAGGAGGTGCTGTCACAGGTCTCTGTGCTCTCCGGGTCACCTCATGAGTCAGTGATGCCCTCGGTCCCTTCCTGGGCCCCCTCACTAGTGGTCTCACCCGGGAAGCTGGACTTGGCCACCCTGGAGTCCCCAGCCAAGAAGGTGCTTTCACCGATGCACTTCACACCGACCAGGCGCATGCTGTCCGAGACCCTGCTGCACTTCTCCCGCTCTGAGGGGCGCTTGAGCTCCTCAGTGCCCACTATACTTCGGGAAGAGCCACTGCCGCTGGAGCAGACGGACTGGTCACGGTCACAGATGCTCGACCTGGGCCCCATCGATGCGCTGAACTTCTTCTGTGAGCAGCAGCGGGTCCGGCAGCAGCGCTTCCTGCAGGAGGAGCGGCAGGGCCTGCACCCCAGCCCAAGCCCGTCGGTGCCCAACACAGTACTGCCTCAGCCCCGGGACTGCTGGTAAGGGGGCCCCCACACTGGGACAGGGCCTGTGGGGGGCAGCCGAGGGGCCAGCCGGGCCACACCTACCTCCTTATCTCTGCAGGCACTACCCCATCCTCCGGCTTCAGGAAGCCAAGCTCCAGAGGGCTCCAATGAGACTGAGGGGTGAGTGGGGACAGGGGTTGAAATGCACAGCACCATCTACCTCCACCCTAGCTGGGGTCCCAGTGGGCACTGACCCCACCCTGAAGCCACACTGTCCTGCTGGCCCACAGGCTGGATGCGGTCCCAGCTCTGGGTGGCCCGTACCCTCAATGCCTCCATCCGGATGCTGAAGCTGCCACTGCCAAGGGTGGAACTTCAGCCTTTCCCCCCCGACTGGCCCAGGCCTGCCCGTCCGCTGCCCCCACTGCTCCTGCAACCCGCTTTGCAGCGATACTTTCTCCTAGATGATTCGAACCCTGACAGCTACAGTTGACCAGGCTGGTGGCCCAGTCTCTTCCTCCCCCTGGCATGGAGTCGGGATGTGGCTCTCCAGCCAGCTATTCTTTTCTGGAAATAAAGTTCAGAGGTCATGGCCAGAAAACTGGATGCCACCTTTATCTTTAGGGGCTGCAAGTGTGAGCAGGACAGTCTTGCTGGTGTGATGGATCTGCCAGTGGCCACCTGGAAAGCAGGAACTGGGGGCACGGTGGAATGTGGTGTGGTCGGCCCTTGGCGGAGCAGCATTCCTGGTGGGTGTGTCTGTCTGCCAGGAGAGAGGCCCATCACGTGGGCACATCTCAGCTCAGGCACGTGGCCTGTATTTATTAGTAAGTTACTGGGGTCAAGATAGTGGGGACTCATGGGCCAGTGAGTGGCCAGGCACGGAGGAGATGAGAGAGTCTAGATGGCTCTGTGTGTGTGTGTGTGTGTGTGTGCACGCGCGCGTGTGTACGTGTGTGTGCGCGTGTACGTGTGTGTGTTGAGGGGGTGGGGGCCTGAGTTTGTTGGTGCTTTGCTACCCTTGGCTAGAAGGGAGAAGAATTGATGAAGGAGTCCCATGTGCTTTTATCCAAGAAACAGCATCCTTTTGACCCTTGTATCTAAAAATTGCCAGGAGACAGAACTTATATGTTAAGTACAAGATCTCAGAGGGCTTTGGCTTCCTTCTGAGCCATCAGGGCCTCCCAGGGCACTGGTCCCACAGCTTGTGGGGCACTCGGCCCATGTGTGCACTCGCTATTAGGTCTGCCTTCTTTTGCTTTGTTTTTTAAAGATTAATTTATTGGGCGCCTGGGTGGCTCAGCAGCTGAGCATCTGCCTTTGGCCCAGGGCATGACCCCAGGGTCCTGAGATCGAGTCCCACAGTGGGCTCCCCACAGGGAGCCTGCTTCTCCCTCTGCCTGTGTCTCTGCCTCTCTCTATGTCTCTCTCATGAATCAATAAATAAAATCTTAAAAGAATATTTTTAATAAAAATTTATTTATTCATTTGAGGGAGACAGTGTGAGTGAGCAGCGGGGAGGAGTAGAGGGAGACCATTCAAGCAGACGCCCCACTGAGCAGGACCGCAGCACCAGGCTCCATCTCACGACCCTGAGATCACCGTCTGAGCCGAAACCAAGAGTCAGATGCTTGACCAACGGAACCCTCCCAGGGCCCCCTGGGTCTGCCTTGGTGAAGGGCTGTTCTAGCTTTTACATTCTCCTTTTGGGTTGTGGGGCAGCAATTTCTTACCTCTGAATGTTTTCAGCCTCTGACTTCAGAAGTTTTTTCTCAGTGTCTTTTCTTTTCTTTTCTTTTCTTTTCTTTTCTTTTCTTTTCTTTTCTTTCTTTCTTCTCTTATTTATTTATTTATTTATATTTTTTTCTCAGTGTCTTTCTAGATAAAATTTATCTCTCACACCTTTCCCACAACCCCAGAACTGTGCCTGGGCTCTTGTCATGGTGACTAGGGCAAGAATTGCCCAGTCTGGAGAACTAAAGACATGACATTTGTATAAAAGGGCCATGCCGCCTAAAGCAAGGACTGTGGGGTGCATCATAGTCTGCTTCTTCTGGTATTTCATCCAAATTATAAAAAGCAATCAATTCTTGTAAAACTACCAACAGGAGAGTGACGCCCAGGTGGCTCAGCCAGTGGAATGTGCGAATCTTCTTAGGGTTGTGAGTTCAAGCTCCATGTTGGGCATATAGCTTACTTTAAAAAATAAAAGTTAATTAAAAATAAATAAAAATATATTAAAAATATCAACATGAGGGGCGCCTGGGTGGCTCAGCGGTTGAGTGTCTGCCTTCGGCCCAGGGTGTGATCCTGGAGTCCTGGGATCGAGTCCCACATCGGGCTCCCTGCACGGAGCCTGCTTCTCCCTCTGCCTGTGTCTCTGCCTCTCTGTGTCTCTCATGAACAAATAAAATCTTTTAAAAATAATAATAAATAAAAATATCAACATGAGAGTAGGGCAAGTTTAAACAAGTCAAAAACCCACTAATTATAAAGGGAAATATTAGTATATGTTTATTAATACATATTAATATAGTTATTTTATTTTTTTTTTAAATTTTTTTTAATTTTTATTTATTTATGATAGTCACAGAGAGAGAGGCAGAGACACAGGCAGAGGGAGAAGCAGGCTCCATGCACCGGGAGCCCGACGTGGGATTCGATCCCGGGTCTCCAGGATCGCGCCCTGGGCCAAAGGCAGGCACTAAACCACTGCACCACCCAGGGATCCCCAATATAGTTATTTTAAAATTAATATATTAATCTATACCATTCAGAGAATAAAAAGGCCAGAGAGTGAGAGGAGATGTCTGTAATACATGTAACTACATGTGATGAAGATGAAGTGGCATAGAACCAACTTGCTTTTTGGTGTCGTCGTCATACCTACACAAGGTGTACCACTGACATTCCTAGAAGAGAGAAATCTATTGAGAAAGTAGATTAGGGACCCCTGAGTGGCTCAGCGGTTGAGCGTCTGCCTTCAGCTCAGGTCATGATCTCAGGGTCCTGGGATCGAGTCCCACATCGGGCTCCCTGCTCAGCGGGGAGCCTGTTTCTTCCTCTATCCTATAACTCAACCCTGGCTTATGCTCTCTCTGCCTCTCTCTCTCTCTCTCTCTCTCTCAAATAAATGAAATCTTTAAAAAAAGAACTTCAACAAATCAATAACTTTTAAAAATCACACAACGCAACAGAAAAAATGTACAAAAAGCTGGACTGGAATTTTCACTATAGAAGAAATCAGGATAGCAAACGCACACACGTATTCCCTTCACTTCCTAACAGTGTGGCCTTAAGGAGTTACCTGGCTCTCTGAGCCTTGGTTCCCCATGTATGAAATGGAGATGATGATGCTCAGAGGCTGCGCACTACTGTCATGAGTAAATGAACTTTTTTATCTAACAGACTTAGGAAAATAATGCCTAGCACAGATGATAAAGATAGGAAAGCCAGACCCCATGGGCAGCCCCAGTGGCGCAGTGGTTTAGCGCAGCCTGCAGCCCAGGGTGTGATACTGGAGACCTGGGATCGAGTCCCATATCAGGCTCCCTCCCTGCACAGAGCCTGCTTCTCCCTCTGCCTGTGTCTCTGCCTCTCTCTGTGTGTCTCTCATGAATAAATAAATAAAAATCTTTAAAAAAAGAAAAAAAAGCCAGACCCCTTCCTCGCATCATTTACAAAAGTAATGTTCAGATGATTTGAGGATTGCAATGTAGAAACTGAAACAATAAATATATTAGAGGTAATTTAGAAAAATATTCCCTTAGAATACTTAGAAGGAAAAAGAGACAAATTTGCAGATTAAAAAACAATATGGCAAAAGATGCCATAAAATCAAGGACAAACCTCAAAGTGAATTGTATATTCAAATGTAAAGCTGAAAAATTTAGAAGCAAATATAAAAGATCTGGGATAGCAACTGAGGAAGCGTGCTCAGACACGCCCAAGATGCCATCTGTGAAGGAAATCAGAAAGTTGGACTTTATTGACTATTGTTTTTTTGTTTTTTAAGATTTTATTTATTTATTCATGAGAGACTCACGGAGAGGCAGAGACAAGATGCGGGGAGCCCAATGTGAGACTGGATCCCAGGTGCCCGGGATCATGACCTAAGCCAAAGGCAGACGTTCACCTGCTGAGCCACCCAGGTGTTGGTGCCCCAAGTCTATCAAATTTTAAACTTCTGCTCTGTCAAAGGCCATGTCAGCAGGCTGGAAAGACAAGCCATGACCAGGAGAAGACGCTTGCACGTGGCCTGTCCACAGAGAACATCTAGCTTGAAAGAAAAAAAAAACAGCTTCCAAAATTAACTATAGAAGCCAAACAATCCCACTAGAAAATGGGTGAAAGAAAAGAAAAGAAAGAAAATGGGTAAAAGAAGCAAACATTTCAGCAAAGACGAAATGTTCCTCATCCCCAGCAATTAGAGGAACGCAAATGAAGAACACCTAAAATAAAAAAGCTGACATCGCCAAAGCTGGTGAGGATTCGAGCAACCGGGTCTCCACACGCTGCTCGCGGGAATGCCAACCGGTCCAGACACTCGCAAACCATTTGGCAGTTTCTGGAGAACAAAACATGCCAGCACTAGGACGCAGCGGTCCCATCACCGGGCATTTACCCCAGAGAAATGAAGATTGATGCCCACACGGAAGCCTGTACACAAGGCTTTAGGCTGCTTTACTCGTCACAGCCCCAAACTGAAAATGACACAGAGGTGCTTGGGCAGGCGGACGTGCGCCCGCGAGCTCTGTAGCAGCAGGATGAAGTGGTTGACACGGCGACAACCTCCAGAGGTCCTAGGCTGCGTGATTCCACTTCCGTCACACTCGTGAGGTGACAAGCACGGAGAGGAAGCACAGGCCCGTGGGTGCCGGGGGAGGCCGGGAGCACAACAGCAGGATACCGTGGGGAGGGCCCTGCTCCCTATTTCGATGGCGGCGCTGAGGGCAGAGGGGGAGGTTCATGCTGAAAGGTTATGGGTTCTGTTGGGTGATGAAAACCTTCTGGAGACACATGGTGGTGATGGTTGCACAGACCACGAGTGTAAATGCTACTAACTATACACTTAAAAATGTTCAGGGGCTGGGATCCCTGGGTGGCGCAGCGGTTTGGCGCCTGCCTTCGGCCCAGGGCGCGATCCTGGAGACCCGGGATCGAATCCCACGTCGGGCTCCCGGTGCATGGAGCCTGCTTCTCCCTCTGCCTGTGTCTCTGCCCCTCTCTCTCTCAGGAATAAATAAATAAAATCTTTAAAAAAAAAAAAATGTTCAGGGGCACCTTGGCTGGCTCAGTTGGTGAAGCATGCGACTTGATCTTGGGGTCATCCGTTCAAGCCCCACCTTGGTCACAGAGCCTACTTTAAAAAAATGGTTTAAATGGCCAATTTTGTTATATGCATTTTACTACCATTTAAAAAATTAATAATATACCAAAACGCATCCAATTTAAATGGATGATTTGTATGGTATATGGATTACATCTCAATAAAGCTATTTTAAAAAATAGACAGGAGGGACACCTGGGTAGCTCAAGTTGAGCGTCTGACTCTTGGTTGAGGTTTGGTCATGATCTTGCAGTAGTTGGATTGAGGCCTGTGTTGGGCTCCTGGCTCGGCGTGGAGTTGGCTTCAGATTCTCTCTCCCTCTCCTCCCCCTTCCTTCTCTTCCACCCCACCCTTTTCTCCACATATGCACACCCTCTCTCAAATAAGTATAATACTTTTTAAAAGAATAAATAATACACAGGAGTGTCCTTCAAGGGCCTTCCACTGGCCAAATTCTGGATCACAGTAATGAGAGTATTCTATTTCTTTGAATAAAGTAAGACTCCGTGAGGGGTGCCTGGCTGGCTCAGTTGGAAGTGAGTGCGATTCTTGATCTTGGGGTGAGTTCAAGCCCCATACTGGTTGTGAGGATTAAATAAATTTACTTTAAAAACATTAATAGGGGTAGCCTGGGTGGCTCAGTGGTTTAACGCCACCTTTGGCCCAGGGCGTGATCCTGGAGTCCTGGGTTCGAGCCCCACATCGGGCTCCCTGCATGGAGCCTGCTTCTCCCTCTGCCTGTGTCTCTGTCTCTCTCTCTCTCTCTGTCTCTCATGAATAAATAGATAAAATCTTTTAAAAAAAAAACATTAATAATAGTTTTAAAAAAACCCCATGGGTCTTCATTGACATAATAAATGAACAAAATAGGGCAGCCCGGGTGGCTCAGCAGTTTAGTACTACCTTCAGCCCAGGGTGTGATCCTGGAGACCTGGGATCGAGTCCCACATCGGGTTCCCTGCATGGAGCCTGCTTTTCCCTCTGCCTGTGTCTCTGCCTCTCTCTCTCTCTCTCTCTCTCTGTCTCATGAATAAATAAAATCTTAAAATAAAAAATAAATGAATAAAATAGGTAAAAAAAAGCTTTTTCCTTTACAGTAAACAAAAACTACATACAAAAACTAGTGAGTGAAAGGTGGATGAAGAACGGACTATTTACATAGTCTCAAAGTATTTCCCCATAAAACATTTACTAAATACAAAGAATAAGAGTAACCTATCAGTAAAGAATGCTGAGCAATTCACCTTAAGTAATCAAACATCTCCTATGTGGGGGCAAACTAGTATCTTGCCATCTGATGGGACTCAACACAAAGAGCTCGGTCTCACCTCCATGGTATTCCTTTTTTTTTTTTTTAAGATTTATTTATTTGTGTGAGAGAGCAAGAGCATGTGCCCATGCGAGGGGGAGGGGCAGAGGGAGAAGCAGACTCCCCGGTGATCATGGAGCCCAACACCGGGGTTGATCCCAGGACCCAGGGATCCTGATCTGAGCCGAAGGCAGAGGCTTGACTGACTGAGCCACCCAGGCGCCGCCCTCCATGGTATTCCTACCAAAAATATATCACCTGAGTCTCATCATGAGGTAGCCAGACAAATGCAAGTTGAGCAACAAAAGAGCTGATTGGTGCTCTGCAAGTGTCAAGGGCATGAAAGTCAAAGACTAAAGAGTAGCCCCCAGTTGAAGGAGACTGAAAAAACGTGACCACACCCTTTGCTAAAAGATCATTATTGGGATAACTGAGAAATTTGAGGTGTCTGGGTCAAGGGTATATGGAAGTCCTTTCTACAACTCTTGTAACTTTAACTTTTAAATTACTTCCAAAAATTTTGTATCTTTTAATATATCTTGGGAATATTTAAGGCTCCCTACCTGGTGATTACACTAAATGCTTCCTTGAATTAGTCAGAGCAAGTGCTTGCCAGTTTGCCTCTGGACACCAGTGGGCTCTGAAGGCACACATTTTGTCTCAGTCAGATGGACCCCCCAGATGCACCAGATGACAACAATTACCTAGTTTATGCATAATTTTCTGATTCCATATCTTGAGAAATCTTTGACTCTTATGGGCAGGATCTGTGTATCAGAGCATGTGGTTTCCTTGGAGAGATGGGCATTTCCTTGGACTTATCTACCCTCTCCCTCAATTTCTTTTTTTTTTTTTAATTTTTTTTTTCAGTTTATTTATTGATGATAGTCACAGAGAGAGAGAGAGAGGCAGAGACCCGGGCAGAGGGAGAAGCAGGCTCCATGCACTGGGAGCCCGACGTGGGATTCGATCCCAGGTCTCCAGGATCGTGCCCTGGGCCAAAGGCAGGCACCAAACCGCTGTGCCACCCAGGGATCCCATCAATTTCAAGCGAGTGGCTTTCGCATATGGCTAAGTTGGGACTGAAGCTATGAAGTGCCTATGGATCTTACCTGGGGACAAATCCCAGCTCTTGAATCTTTTTACCCACTGACTTCAGGGGCATGCTGTTCCCTGTTGGTGGCTCTCCTGGGCCTCACTGTCCCTATAGGCTTTGTCCTAGGCCTTAGAGTGAAAGAAAAAGAACATCAACCTACTAAGCAGCCCATAACCTATGTAGAAGGACATAAACCATGAAGCAAGGAATAGATGAGGGGAAGCTTGTATTAGAAAACAAGGTTTCAAACCAATGACCTCAGCCTTTACCTTAAAGAAACTAGGAAAAAGAACAGCAGGTGACACTACTACAGATGCTACAGACATTAGAAGGATAAGGGAATAGTATGAACAACTTTATGCCAATGAATTTGACACTTTAGATGAGCCAATTCCTTGAAAAACACAAACTACCAAAAGTTACTAAAGAAGAAAGTGACACCCTGGGGCACCTGGGTGGCTCAGTTGGTGAAGTGTCTGCCTTTGGCTCAGGTCACCCAGGACTGAGTTGTCCCAGGTGACCTTGTGGGTGTGTGTGTGTGTGTGGGGGGGGTCCCTGCTAAGTGCTTCTCCTTCTCCCTCTGCTGCTCCCCCTGCTTCTGCTCACTCTCTCTCTGGCTCACTCTCAAAATCTTTTTTTTTTTAAGATTTTTAAAATTTATTTATCCACGAGAGACAGAGAGAGAGATGCAGAGACAAAGAGGGAGAAGCAGGCTCCCTGCAGGGCACCCCATGTGGGACTCGATGCAGGGACCACAGGATCACGCCCTGAACTGAAAGTAGATGCTCAGCCACTGAGCCACCCAGACGTCCCCAACTCAAATCTTTAAAAAATACATTGAAAAAAGAAAGTGACAATTAAAAAAAAAAAAAAGAGAAGAAAGAAAAAAAAGAAAAAAAAAAAAAAAAAAGAAAATGAGCCGGATGGCTCAGTGGTTTAGCGCCACCTTCAGCCCAGGGCGTGATCCTGGAGTCCCGGGATCCAGTCCCACGTCGGGCTCCCTGCATGGAGCCTGCTGCTCCCTCTGCCTGGGTCTCTGCCTCTCTCTCTGGGTCTCTCATGAATAAATAAATAAAATCTTAAAAAAAAATTAGCAAACTTAATACGACGATACATGAAAATGAAAGTAGTACAACCAGATGGAGATGATGCGGAAACAGAGGCCTAACATTAGAAGGTCAAAGTAAAAAAAAAAAAAAAGAAAGTAAAAGGTCAAAGTAATTGATCCTGAGTCTCCCGGCGACTGGAGGTCGCTGCCTGCCCCAAGGGCCCGGTCACACCCGAGGGCCCGGCCGGCGCCCCTCCCCCGGCGCCCCTCCCCCGGCGCCCCTCCCCCGGCGCCCCTCCCCCGGCGCGGCACCCAGTCCACAATGCTCCGGGCCTCGGCGTGGCCCCGCCCCCGCGCAGGCCCCGCTCCCGCGCCCAGTCAGCGGCCTCTGATTGGCGCTGCGGCTTCCGCTGCCGGGGCGGGTCCTCGGCCCGCGTCGGGGCGGCGGGGCGGCGGGGCGGCGGGGCGGTGGGGTCCGGGGCGCGGGCTGGCATGGGGGAGTCCCCGGCAGGCGCGGGCGCGGGCGCGTCGGGGGGCGGGCTGGCTCCCGCAGCGCCGCGGATGCCGGAGACCGGCGCGGAGGCTGGGGTGGCGACGCTGCTGCCCTTCCTGGCGCCCGGGGCGCGGGCGGACCTGCGGGCCGAGGCGGTGCGGCACGTGCTGGCGCTGACCGGCTCCGGGCCCGGGCGGGCGCTGCTGGCCAGCCAGGCGGCGCTGCTGCGGGCGCTGGTGGAGCTGGCGGCGGCCCCGGCCCCGGCCCCCGCCCGCGACGCCGCTCGCGCGCTCGTCAACCTGGCCGCGGAGCCCGGGCTGCACGAGCCGCTGCTGGAGGCCGAGCCCGCGCTGCCCGCCCGCCTGCTCGGCCGCGCCCTGGACCCAGAGTGGCCCTGGGCGGAGGAGGCGGCCGCCGTGCTCGCCAACCTCAGCCGCGAGCCGGCGCCATGTGCCGCGCTGATGGCCGTGCTGGCGGCCGCGGGGCCGGGGGGCTCGGGCCTGGAGCGGCTTGTGCGCGCGCTCTGCACGCCCGGCTACAACGCCCGGGCGCCCCTGCACTACCTGGGGCCGGTGCTCTCCAACCTCAGCCAGCGCCCCGCCGCGCGGGCCTTCCTGCTGGACCCCGACAGGTGAAGCCCGGGGCCCTCGGGGAGGGGGCGGGAGCGAGCGGGAGCGGGATGGCGCTGAGCGGTCCCTCCCTGCAGGTGCGTGGTCCAGCGGCTGCTACCCCTCACCCAGTTCCCAGACTCCTCGGTGCGCAGGGGCGGGGTGGTGGGGACCCTGCGAAACTGCTGCTTCGAGCATCGTGAGTGAGGGTGGGGGTGTTGCGGTGGGAGGGGCTGGGGCAGAGAGACGGCTCTGGGGCCCCCTCTAGACTGGCACCCATTTCTGGTTTTCCTTCAGGACACCACGAGTGGTTGCTTGGGCCCAAGGTGGACATTCTCCCCTTCTTGCTGCTGCCCCTGGCTGGGCCTGAGGACTTCTGTGAGGAGGAGATGGAGCGTGAGTGGCTTGGGTCGAGCCTCAGGGTTGGCCCGGCAGGCGGGGTGCAGATGTACAGATCAGGCAGGACCCCTTCTGAAACCCTCCCGCACGGAGACGCTGAGCTCAGGTGGGACTTACAAAGGCAGGGTCTGGCCTACAGGCCTGTGCAGGCAGCCAGTAACCCCCTCATACACCTCCAGGGCTGCCTGTTGACCTGCAGTACCTGCCGCCAGACAAGCAGCGGGAGCCTGATGCTGACATTCGAAAGATGCTCATTGAGGCCATCATGCTGGTGAGCGGGGGTCCTGCAACATTCATGCCACCCTGCAACATACCCACACGTACCTGAGGATGCTGATACCTGGGTAACCTTTGTCTTCTCCCAGCTAACAGCCACAGCGTTTGGTCGGCAGCAGGTGAGGAACCAGGGAGCCTATCTGATCCTGCGTGAGCTGCACAGCTGGGAGCCAGAGCCCGACGTGCAGGTGGCTTGTGAGAAGCTCATTCAGGTGGGTGCAGGGTTTGTGGGGAAGGGAGGAGCACGTCTGCGGTGCCAGCCAGCTGCTCACCTGGCTCCCCTGTTGGCAGGTGCTCATTGGGGATGAGCCAGAGCAGGGCATGGAGAACCTGCTGGAGGTACAGGTGCCTGAGGACGTGGAGCGGCAGCTGCAGTGGCTCCACCAGCAGGAGCGGGAGCAGCACAGCCGGAAGCACCCAGAGGAGCTGGCCCCAGAGCCACAAGCACAGGGGGCAGCGTCCACCTGAGGCCCCTGCAGCCCACCGCTAGGTCTGGGTGCACCTTGCTGGCCCTCCTGTGCAGCCCTTCCTGCAGCCACTTGCAGGCCTCTGCGTCTCCCTGCTCAGAGCTCGCCACGAGCTGAGAAGCATAGCTGCCCCTAGGCTCACGGTGAGGTCTCTAGGGAAAATGGCCAATAAACCTGGGCGAGGGTACCTCCTTGTACCCTGCTGCATCCAGCCACTCAGGTTGCTCAGCGTGGACCAGGTCAGCCAGAGCTAGCCACGCCCTCTCCCAGGTACCTCCAGGAACCAGCTCATGAGCCTGGACTGATAAATGGTACCAGCCTGAGCACCCCCAAGGGCACGACAGAGGCCTGGGCGTCATGGGCGTCCAGGTGTAAGCAGGGCCGTTTGTCGCCGGTGCCACCCCAAATCTTCCCTTCGGGACTCCTCAGCTTACCCTGCCCTGAGATCAGCCTCAAAGGACTGATCCCTTGAGACTTGCCCCTGCCTCAGCCTGTCCTGGGATCTCCTAGGGCTGCACCCCCGGTGTGTCCTTGGAGCGTTTGCTGGGGCCCATCTGCCTACATCTCTCCACCTTCCTGCTTGACCTGCGGTATTGCCCTCAGCCCCTTGCTAGTGTCTCCAGCCCTGGACTGAAGTGATGCCCCCTGCCCCCCCCCCCCCGGCTCACACACACACACACACACACACACACACACACACCCTCGCTGACTAGGCTCTATCTTTGGTCAGTTTCCTTGAGTTTCAGAGCCCATCGCTTGACAGAGTCTCCCTGAGGCGCCTGTGGCCCTGCTCTTTGCCAAGCCTTTTCCTTCACCACCCTCTGCCCCCTCGGAGCCCCTCGTGTGGGGCCCTGTGTTCTGCAGCTGCCAAGCCAAGCCTGCTAGGCCGTCAGCGCGGCCTCCCTGCGCCCTGCTCCCTTCCTGGTGCCATCTTTTGCACAAGACTCCTGAGTACTGGCCTCCGCAGGCCCTTGCTCTCTGGCACTGGTGTGCCGCCACCTGGCATCCTGAGTGTTTCCAGTGCCCTCTGCACATGTCCTCCATCGTGACACTGCCTCCAAAGCTGGAGGCCCACTCCAGTTCCTCCCAGTGAGGCTGGGCGCTTCATGGATACAAGCTCTCCCCTTCCTTCATGTACTCTCTATATATTTTTTTTTGTCCTGATTAAAGCTCTGGCTTGGAAGCGTGTGGACTCATGTTCTCCCTGGATGGGGGATGCAGCAGGCTCCCCATGGCTGGCTGCCCCTTCCTACACTGAGACATCACACCCCTTCCATAAAATAAATGCTTTATCTGGCCTCTCCTGTGCCCACCCATCCTTAGTTGACCAGGTAATACCCAGGCGTGGTCCTGATGGCACATGTGGAGCTCGGCGAAAGTGCTACCAGGAGGCACCCACCCCCACACTGGCTGCCACCGTACTCTGGAGCCCCAGCTGGGCAGACTGCACCTCTTCTTGAGACTGCGTCTGGGCGCTCGGGCATTGGGCCAGAAGCACTCGCGTGGTGAGGTCCCCTGTGCTGGGGACGCTGGAGTTGCTGGAGCAGCCTCGGAGGCTGTGAGTCTCTGCCAGGCTCCATGTGGTCAAGGGCTGCTGGCAGCTGGGACTTGGCTGGTTTCTCTGCAACCAACAGCCATGGCAGGTCAGGAGGGGCAGTGGGGGGCCCACCACACCTGGTGATGAGCTGAGCATGGTAAGGAAGAGTGCGTGCGCGATGGGCAGCATCCAGCAGTGAGCAGCCACCTGCTGCAGGTCCAGGCGTGCCCGCGGGCGTAGCTGCAGCAAACCCCGGATCAGGTCCTGGCATTCTGTGGGCAAGGGCTCACAGCTCTGGCCCCCCACTGCCCGTCCTCTTGTGCAGGCCCATCACCGCCAACAGTGGTGGCGGTTGGGAGGAGTCCTCCCATTCAGTCTACCCAAATGCCAGGAGAGAGTCCACGCTTCACCAGTCAGGAGATGGAGGCACAGAGAGGGGAGATGGCCTGCCCGGGGCCGGCGCAGAGCTCAGCTCATGGGGGCGCTGCCTTTCCAGACATGGAGTCTGGATCTGGGCCTCCCCCAGCCCAGCTGCCCTCTCACCTCTTGGCTGCAGTCACCTACCAGCCTGGGTTGGGAGTGGGGGACAGGTCAGCTTCCGTGCCACCGCCATGCCCCTCACTGCACAGAAGGACCCTTCTCTGGACCCAGGGCTCTCTCTCTTTTTTTTTTTTTTTTTAAAGATTTTACTTATTTGAGACAGAGCAGGAAGAGAGGCAGGGGGAGAAGCAGACACCCCCCTGAGCAGGGAGCCCGATGGGGGTTCCATTCCAGGACCCTGGGGTCATGACCTGAGCCAAAGGCAGATGCTCCACCGCGGAGCCCCACAGGTACCCTGGGACCCAGGTTTCTTGCCCACTTCCCAGAGCCATGCCGGGACTTTGGAGGAAGGCAGGGTGTTCTCACTCACCTGGGGACATGCCTGGCCTGAAGGTGGGGCCCTGGTGCATCAGGTGCAGCATGCGGTGGAGCTGGCGCTCCTTGAAGGGCAGCTTCCCAGTGACCTTGGTGTAAAGGATGATGCCCCTGGGGGCACAGGCTCCTCAGGGCTGGCCCTTTCTCTTGCCCTCCCACGGGGCCCGCCTCTGCTGGGGTGCCTGTGGGTGCCACTCACAGGCTCCACAGGTCGGCCTGCTCCCCGTTGTACATCTTGCTCATGAGGATCTCAGGGGCTGTGTAGGCCACGGAGCCGCAGAAGGTGCTCAGCAGCGAGTTCTTGAGGCCTGACCGGTTGGCGAAGCCAAAGTCTGCAGGAGGCACACAGGGGGGGCACAGGTGGGCAGTAGGCCCCGTGAGGGGAAGGAGGGAAAGGAGAGGGAGGCTCAGGAGGGACGGAGGGACGGCTGTGGGGTGTCTGCAAGCACAGGTGCGGGCAAGGGAGGGGTTGGGCCTCCCAAGAGGGTCGAAGGTCAAGCCAGGTTGGGGTGGGGGGGTGTCGGGCGTCTGAAGCAGGCAGCGGCCCAGTCGGTGAAGCGTCTGCCTTTGGCTGAGGTCATGATCTTGGGGTCCTGGGATGGGGTCCTGGCTCTGTGCTCAGCAGGGAGCCTGCTTCAGCATTGTCCCTCTGCCCGCCCCCGCCCCCCACCACTCAGCGCGCTCTCTCCAAAATATATAAATAGATCTTTAAAACAATTAAAAACATTGTCTGAAGCAGGCCAGGGTCGAGGCTGGGGCCCGGGTCGGGACACCAGCTGAACACGGATGGGCGTCCTGAAGCAGGTGAAGGCTGGGGCGGGCATCCGGGTGGCCCGGGGAAGAGGGCGGGCGCTGGGCCACGGGCTCACCGCTCAGCTTTAGGAGGCCTTGGTCATCCAGCAGGATATTCTCACACTTTAGATCCCTGCACGGGGAGGGGGAGGCGGGCTGGTCCCGGGCTCAGGCGGGCCCCTCAACGCGGGTAGGGGGCAGGCTGGGCGGCAGCCTCACCGGTGCACGATGCCAGAGCTGTGGCAGTGGGCCACAGTGCTGACCAGCTGCCAGAACAGCCCGCGGGCCTCGTCCTCTTCCAGCCCCGGGCGGCAGCGGTGGTCAGACACCGAGTTGATGTGTTCCAGCAGGTCACCGCGGGCTGCCAACTCCAGCACCAAGTAGGAGCGCCGGCTGTTCTGGTAGGTCTCATAGAGTTGCACCTGCCGGACCCCCAGCTCCCTGCTGTCACCCAAGGAGGGGCTGTCCAGTACATTGGATCAGGGCCTCAAGATGGGGCTGGGACCCAAGCAGGACGGTCCCTGGTGGGAAAGTGGGTGGGCCTGGTCAGCAGGAGATGCACAGGATGGGCATGGGCTGTTTGGGGTCTCCACCTACCACATTCAGGTGCTTGTAGGTGGTGTTGAGTGATGATATTTCACGGGGCAGGAACTTTTGGGAGAATTCCACGGGGGCCTCGGCAGTGGAGATAATCTTGATAGCCACCTGCAGGGGTGGAGGGTGGCCCTTGTGTGCCAAGCACAGCCCCTGAAGGGGGACGTGGACGGCCCTGTGCCCTTGGCGCACATTGCTCAACTTGACCGAGGCTGGGAAGCAGCGTGCTCGTGCTCATGGGGCTATGCTGATCCTCCTCTCCCTTCCTGGCTCAGATAGGCTCAAGGGGTTCTGGAACTGGGAGTGGCCAGGTTGCGGGAGCCTTGAGGGGATACCAGGCCAGGAGGAGCCAGAGCAGCAGGGGGGTGCCTCAGTGGGGGGAGGACAGGGCCACAGAGCCCGCTGCGGGCCACCCCCGGGGAGATGGGCCTGCCTCACCATAACATGGCGCTTGCCCCGCAGGTCGGAGGCCAGCTTGGGGTTGTGCCGCAGGCGCTCGTGTGTGGCGTAGGCCAGGTAGACTTTGGAGAAGGCCCCAGAGCCCATCTTCCTGGAAGACAGCAGGTAGCCATTGTCCCTGCACTCGCGCACCTGCTCCATGAAGTTTAGCTGGTCCAGCTTTCGCCTGGCACTGCCCTTCATGGAGGCCAGGGCTCCCCGGAGGGGGCAGGGTGGTCCAGCTCCCTGCAGAGCCTTGGCTAGGAGGACCGGTGAGACCTGACTTGGGTCCGAAGGGCTGGAGGAGTCTAGTGCGACTTGTGCCCCTTGGGGCTGGATCCCAGGACCCCAAATTTCTGAAGTCTTGCTGAGACTAGGACAGAGACAGGGGAGTGACCAGGGCTGCAAGCCAACACAGCCGTGGACTGGTGGGGGGCAAGGCAGGCTCTGGAAAAGCAGGGGCAGATTCTAGAATGGAAGGTTCTAGAGCTGCCCTTGCATTGTGCCCTCAAAGGGGGGTGTCCCCAGGGCCTGCCTTCCTTGAGAACTGCTTGCTGGAACTAGCCCCGTCCTGCACGGGGCTCACTCTGTGTGGGTGAGACTCCCCAAGGCAGGGTGAGGCCTCTGTGGCCACCGTAAGTGGGACTGGCCACAAAAGACCCTAAAGAAGCTTGTGGGGAGGGTGAGCGAAGGAAGGTGAGCAGGGTTTCCCAGGATATAAAGGACGGAAAGGAAACACAAGGAGTGCTCACAATTGTTTCGGCTGAGTCCGTCATGCTGTGAGATGGTATCAAGGGGGCAGCCAGGTGTGCGGCAATAGAGGCTGAGCCGGAGGAAGGGCGTGGGGGCGGGAGCTACTTGGCTCCTCTGCTGTGGCCTAGAAGCTTCTGCCCAGCTCACGGTCAGCTGCAGGAGGCCTTGCCCCCAGAGGTCTCTGCAGACTTGATGACATATCCCCAAGGCAAGCAAGGCTCCACAGTTTGGGCTCTAGGAGAGAGAAGCCCACCTGGAACCCCCTTCCCCTGGCCTCCAGTGCCTTCTGTGAGCACTGCTGTCACAGGGAGCGGTAGCTAACGTCACCTAACATCTGCTGTGTGGCAGGCAGTATTGTGAGGAGTCCTAGGAGCCCCAGCGGCCACCTCCCTTAGACCCTGCCTCGCAGTCCATGCTGGACACCCCCTTCCCGTTGTAGGTGTTCACATCCTGGGTTTTGAAGTGGAGCACAAACAAGTGGTGCCTGTCTTAAGGGTGACAGTTGGGGCAATTGGCATCTGGATATGTGGTCTCTCTGCCATAGCTAGACGGCACAGCGGCTGTGGGCTGCCATCCTGGAGGTGTCCCAGGAGGGCCTGGGCCTTGGTGGAGGCTTGGTGATTGTCTGTGGACTTGACTTTTCCTCCACTGGGACCCGCAGCAGCCACGGTGTGCCTGCAGGGAAGGCCTGGGATTGGTCTGGTGGGGGACACCGTTTCTTATCCCTGGTGGACCGCAAGCTGCTTTAGAGCAAGTTTAATACTCCCCTGCTCACCCACCGCCCTTGTTTGTCACATCGTGTGGAATAGAGAAAATGTGGACAGCCTGCCTGGTTCGTTGCTGATGCACAGGCAGGAGAGGAGAAAGCTCCGGATTTCAACAGAGGCGTGGTTATTCAGGCACTAGGGGGTTGGAGCCGCAAAACGGAATATCGTGTGGCTCTAGCCAGGGGTGTCTGTGCCTCTGAGCTGCTGTCATCAAGCCTGGGAACCGTGTCCCCTGTCACCTTCCCAGCTCCCACCAGGGCTACAACACAACTGGAAGCCGGTGAGAATCCTGAGGAGACGGGCAGGACCTGGAACGGTCACCAGCTCTGTCCACCCTCTCTTTGTGAAGTCTTTTGTGTCCTCCTCCTGCACTGCACCCCCGGTCATCCATCTAGCCCGTGAGATGCACGGAGCACCCATCATGGGCTGGGCTTGCTGCTGAGCACCAGGAGCAAATCACACACATGGGCCTTTCTCTCCAAGAGCTTCCAATTACAGAAGGGACATTGGGGGGATCCCTGGGTGGCACAGCGGTTTAGTGCCTGCCTTTGGCCCAGGGCGTCACCCCGGGGTCCCGGGATCTCCCACGTCCGGCTCCTGGCATGGAGCCTGCTTCTCCCTCTGCCTGTGTCTCCATCTCTCTATGTCTATCATGAATAAATAAATAAAATCTAAAAAAAAAAAAAGGGAGATTGGCATCAATAACGTGACAAAGTGAAAGGACGGCAGTGATGTCTGCTGGTGCACCTTGTGCCCCTGGGGAGTGAAGTCTGGCCCAGGCTGGGGGTGCTGGGCACTGGCCATGGACAGAGGCAAGGCTTGGGCTGGAAGGTGCGTCCTCCAGAGGGGAGCTTGGGAAACGCCAGCCTCCTGCCCTAGAACTTCTCGGGGGCCGTGGGAGGGGCTTGGGGTCGGGTGGTCGGGCTCCTCCTGGGGGGCCGGGCCCAACCTGCAGAGCCCCTCAGTGTCAGCCTTCTGGGTTCTGTCCTTGCAACAGAAGCAGGCTGAGCCCCTTCCCTCCCCGCCCAGGGTGTGCCCTGGGGCCCCACTCTGCACCCTCACGCCATCGCCCTCAGCGCTCTGCAGACTCAGCCTGCTGCAAGCCAGGACACCTGCCAGGCCCCGGATGTAGTGCTGCTGACCACTTCCTTCTCCAATCGCCCTCTAAGCTTCTGAAACGCACTCCCTTCTGGTCTGTGCACGGGCCCGGATGATTTCAGCCTCCGGGCTGTACCGGCACCAGCGCCCCCGCCGGGAGGGCACCTCCTCTGCCCACTGCTCCTTCGCGGCGCTTGTGTGCCTTATTCCCCGCCGCTGTCTCCGAGCCCAGGCCCGGAGGCAGACACCTGCTCATCCCCATCCGCGGGGGGCGGCGGCCCCGGGGCTCTCCGGTGTGTGTTGGGTGTTCAGTGTGTGCGTTCTCGCGTGAGCGATCACAGGGCATGAGAGTGCCCGCGTGTGTCTAGGCCCACCTGGGCTGTGCACCTGGACAGGTGTGTGCCTGCGACGCGCCGAGGCGCCCCCCGGTGCGCGCCGGGGTCTCCGGGGTGCACCTGCACGCAGCCTGGCGCCGCGCGGGCCGAGCGGGGAGGGCACGCCAGCGCCTGCGCACTGGCCGGCCGCGTCTCCCGCGGCCAGCCGGGGGGCAGCGCTCGCGCCCAACCGCCGGGAGCGGCCGGGGGCGGGGCCGAGCACCAGGCGGAGACTGCGCACTCGCGCTCCCCGGGGCTCGAGGAGCGGGACGGGAAGGGGGCGGAGAGGGACGCGCCTCCGGCCAATGAGCGCAGAGATCGCGCGGGGGCGGGGCCGGGCGGCCGCGCGCCGGGCCGCGGTTGGCGGATGGGGCGGGGCAGGCTTGGCGCGAGGCCCCGCCCATTTCGGGCGGGGGCTGGTGGGAGGGCGGTGCCCGGGCGGCGGCGGCGGCCGCGGCTCCTCAGGTAAACCGGGAAGCGGGGAGGGCGGCGCTCGCTCGCACGGGCGCCCCTCGGGGGAGCCGAGGCCGGAGAGTCCGGGGGCGGCGCGGGAGGCCGGGTGGGGAGGCGCCCCCGAGGTCGGCGGGCGAGCGCGAGGAGGGTCCCGGCCGCGGGGCTCAGGTGCGCCGGGCGTGCGGCGTCCCACCCGGAAGCGGCCGGGGCGGGGGGCGGGGGAGCGTGCCCTGGTCACGAGGGCCTCGGCCGCGGGGACAGCGGTGGAGCTGCCCGGGCCGGAGGAGGTGCGGCTCCGCGGCGGGCGCTGGGCTCCAGGCCCGAGCTGCCGCCCCGGGGTCCCCGCAGCGCCCGCACAGCCGCGGTGCAGCCCTGGACCCCGAGGAGACGCCGCGGACGGGTGGGGGGGGAGGCGCGGGACGTGAGTGCTCGGCGGGGGAGGCAGGGGGAGGCCGGCTGCGACGGGCGCCTCGGAGGCCCGGAGGGGTGCTGGGTGGAGAGAAGGGGCCGGGGAGGCCGCCGTGGGGCGTGCGGCGGGGACGCAGGGCGGGCTGGGCTGCTGCTGACTCCGAGCCTCTAGCCCGGCGCTTCCCAAGAGCTGCGGGGAGTGAGGGGCCCACTGGACGATGCGCAGCGGCAGATCCGCGGACACCTGGACAGCGCGTGGCGGTGATGCGGCTGCGGGTCACCTGTCGCCCCAGCACCCTGCGGGCCTAGGGACGCTGCTGTCTGCAGGATCTTGATTTCGAGGCCTCGGCCGTGGTGGCCCAAGTGAGCAGGTGTCTCTCGTCTCTCTGTGGGGTCAGAGTGAAATGACCTGAGTTGAGCTCTCTTGGTTACCTTGAAACCAGCATCCAGGCTGCATCTTGCTTCTTCTCGCTCCCCGGGGCTGCCTGCTGCCTGCTGCGGGACGTCAGTGGGTCAGAGGTGGAAGCTGCAGGGCCGTGCTCTCCTGCGCTCACTGCCAGCCCGCGTGCTTGGAAGCAGGCGTGTGCCCTTAGCTCTTAGACTCGGGGCCCGCTGAGGCCCAGGTAAGCAGCCAGGTTGTGGCCGGTGTATGATCAGCAGCGCCGGAGCTCATGAGCCTCTTCTATGAGTTGAATTATTTCATCTCTCTGAGGCAGGTGCTAGGCAGCCGCTGTGGCTCTTGGGGCTCCTGGCCAGTGCTCAGGGCATACTGGCTGCTGGAGTTGAGGACTGTGATTTCTTCACCCTTGGCTTTGGGGGTTTGCACGTGAACCCCATGACGCAGCTCGCTGTGGCTTGTGTTGAGAGTGTTTCCAAGGGACTGTGAGCAATGGGCCGTGGAACTGCCTTTCCCAGGTCATCAGCCCAGGTCCTAGTTGGTGGCCCTGGAAGTTGATTCTTCTCTGGCTCCTGTGCTAGGAGGGAAGTTCCCGGGGGCCTGCTGCAGCGGTGGGTCCTTCCCATGACCCCACATGGTGGCCTGACTCCCCAGTCTCCCTGCACACACCTGACCGTCAGACGGGCTCACGGCTGTGTCTGGGCAGTGGTGCCCATGGGCTCGGTGCAGGCGGCTCAGCCCCTCTGTGTGTGGCAGCCACCATACATGTGGGTGTCCTTCCAGCCAAGGGGTAGGACTTTTGGGGCTGAGATGGTGCCTGGTCAGCACTAAATGGGGTGGGAGGACTGGGTTGTTGTGGTGAACGAGGAGGAAGCCTGAGTGCTTCTTCAACTGCCATGTGTAGGATGCAGGGAGGGAAGACCCCCTGAACCCTGCCTTCATGACCTGTGCCAGCGTGCATCACGGCTCGGGCGTAGGGCAGGGGCCGAGGGGCAGGGGCAGGGCGTAGGAGAGTCCCGGCCGCTAACCAGCAATGGGTTTCTCTTACACCTGCTTGGCTGTGTGTATCAAAACAGATGGTGCCTCTAGGGCACTGACCGGGCAGTCAGTGCTCAGCACACCTGCTTCCTGCAAGTTTCAGGCTGCCTTCCAGGCCCAGACCCTTCCTTGTCTCTGCACCCTCCTCCCCTGCAAGCATTGGTCGTGGCTTGCCATCAGCAACCTGCTCACTGTTTGTCTCCACGGAGAGCAGGTTCTGGGCTGCTGTCCCTGTGTGTCCAGTGTCAGCACACAGATCACCTGGCCTGGGGCAGGGGCCGCAGACAGAACCTTACCTAACCGGTCTTGTTTAGCTGCAGACACTGTGCTTTTCCATTGGCAGTCGAGCTCCGCTCTTTGCTCTGTAGTTCATACGAATTCACCACTTGCTCCCATTGGTTGTTTTTTTAAAAAATCTCACCAGACCCCTGATTGGTATTTGTGTTTCTTCTAATACCTCTGTGCCCTTGTGGGAGGGTTTCTGTAGATACACGTCAAAAAGTGGGTGATCCCATCACGTGGTGTCCGTAGGCTCCGCTGACTGTGCAATGACCGCAGCGCTGATGACATCTGTGCTAGCGGAGCATGGCTGTGTGCCAGGCCTTCCTCCAAGCCTTTCACTTGTGACACAACTGAAACCTGGTGCGAGAGTCCGGACCTTAGCATGTCCACGCTGTCCGTCGTGCGGTAGAGGCCAGTGCTCTCCCCTCAGTCTACTGGATGTCTTTTCTGGGAATTCCGTATGCATGTTTGTCCATTTTCCTGTTTGTCTTGTTGATGTAGGTGAGCTCCTTTGCATGCTGGTGTTAGATTTCTCTCTCGTCTGTTATGAATGATTCGTCCTACTTTGTCTTTTATTTACCTTATGCTCTGGTTGGATGAGGTGTGTGAGCGTGTAGAGTGGTGTGCATAGGTATAAGTATGGATATGGTTTTCAAAATTTTTTTAAGATTTTATTTATTCATGAGACACAGAAAGAGAGAGAGACAGAGACACAGGCAGAGACACAGGCATCCCTCTGCAGGGGATGCAGGACTCGATCCCAGGACCCCGGGGTCACGCCCTGGGCCGAAGGCAGACGCTCAACCACTGAGCCACCAGGTTTTCAAATTTAATGTATGTTTTTGACTCAGAAACTAAATTAATTAATTAATTAATTTATTTATTTAGATTTATTTAGTTATGAAAGACACACACGCACACACAGAGAGGCACAGGCAGAGGGAGAAGTAGGCTCCATGCAGGGAGCCCCATGTGGGACTCGATCCCAGGGTCCAGGATCACGCCTTGGGCCGAAGGCAGTGGTAAACTGCTGAGCCACCCGGGCTGCCCTCAAACTTTTTTTTTTTTTTAAAGATTTTATTTATTTATTCATGAAAGATACAGAGACAGAGAGAGGCAGAGGGAGAGACAGGCTCCATGCAGGGAGCCTGATGCGGGACTCGATCCCGGGACTCCTGGATCACGCCCTGGGCCGAAGGCAGGCGCTAAACCACTGAGCCACCCAGGGATCCCCTCAAACTTTTTTTTAAAAGTCAAACTGAATAGTGTTCACTAACATGTCTGGCTTAGAACATCCTTTCCTACTTCAACACTATAAAATATTTACTTGTACTTTCTACTCGGACTTTTACGTTTCATCCTTCCACTCTTAACTCTTACATGCGTCTAGAGTTTGTATTGGGATAAAGAGAGATGAGGGGGGCTAGTGTTTTCCTTGAGAGTTTAACTAGCTGTTTCAACACTATTGACTAATCTGTATCATTTAAAAGTCTTTCTTGTATATTTTCTTCCTAATTGGTGTTCATTTCTGGACTTTTTATATAGTTCCATTGATTTGATACACTTTAACATAAATAGGACAAATCCTCCTCTTCATAAACTTTGAAAAATTGGGCAGCCCGGGTGGCCCAGCAGTTTAGCACCGCCTTCTGCCCGGGGTATGATCCTGGAGACCCAGAATCAAGTCCCACGTTGGGCTCCCCACAGGGAGCCTGCTTCTCCCTCTGCCTGTGTCTCTGCCTCTCTCTCTCTCTGTGTGTCTCTCATGAATAAATAAATAAAATCTTTTTTTTTTTTTTTTTTTTTTTTTTTTTTTTTTAAATTTTTATTTATTTATGATAGTCACACAGTGAGAGAGAGAGAGGCAGAGACACAGGCAGAGGGAGAAGCAGACTCCATGCACCGGGAGCCCGACGTGGGATTCGATTCCGGGTCTCCAGGATCGCGCCCTGGGCCAAAGGCAAGCGCCAAACCGCTGCGCCACCCAGGGATCCCAAATAAATAAAATCTTAAAAAAAAACTTTGAAAAATGTAACTGGCTATTCTTTTTCTTTTTTTAAATTGGCTATTCTTGTATGTTAATTCTTCTATATGAATTTTGGCCATTTCATCAAGTACCTTCCAATATCTTGATTCGTATATTTGTAGATTTGGAAAAATCAAGCTTTACAATATTGAGTCATATGGGAGGGTTTTGGTTCTATTCCTTCCATGAACAATTTTTTTTTTAAAGATTTACTTGTTTTAGTGAGCTATCTATCAAGTGGGGTGTAGGGGCAGGGTGTGAGAAGCTTACAGCAGACTCCCTGCTGAGCTTGGAGCTCGATCCCCACACCCACAAGACCATGACCTGAGCTGAAACCAAGAGTCGGATACTCAACCTACTGAGCTACCCTGCAGCCTCTGAACAGAACAGTTTTTTTTTTGACTGTCCTAAATTGTTTATTAGGTAAGAATTTTACAAATATTACTTATATTAGCGGTAACGGTGGAGCTGGAGAGTATTGTGTCTTCTCCATGCCACACGGCGAGAACTACCAATAGTGTGGTAGAACTTGTGACCCTTCCCAAGGCCACGGCTCTTGCGGCCTGCAGAGGTCAGCCCTCGCATCTCCCTGTGTTTGTGGACTGGTTTGGTGATCCACTGGGTGTCAGGATTTCTTCTGATAGCTTTATGGAATGGATCAATGAGGATAACCTCATAGAATTTGTATGTGGAATCTTCGCCAACCCAATAAGAATTCAAGACTCTCAGAGCTCCACAGTGGCGTCTAGCTCGCTCCTCTGCAACAGACTGAAGGCTTTGGGCAAACTTCAGCTGGTTAACACCATGATGGACAGGCTTGCCATAGGTAGCACCCTTAGGAACTGGGCGTTTGCGGCCACCACGATGCACACGAATCCAATATTTGACATAACCTTGCTTGGCCTTGTAGCCCAGTCTGTGCACTTTATTGGGCCAGGTTGGGCGGGGCGCCCTGTGGAGCGCAGAGAGCTGGCGGTACTGCCAGCAGCACACCCTGAGAAGAAAGCACATGACATCGGACTGCTTCTTCCTCCATAGCTCCTGGATGTACTTGTACGCACCCATCTCGGCCTACCTTGATGGCTGCCACCAGACGGAAAGGCTCTGAACAGTTTTCTAAAAAATTCTATGCACGCTAAGGATAAAAACCAAAAATTTTTCCCTTGCTTACAGCGCATTGGAGAAGGCAGGCCTACTGGAGCATACAACTGTTAATATTTTGTGCTGATCCCATACCCATCATATGAACAAAGTGTTGTAGGAATATTGGATCACTTGCTGCGAAAGGTCGAGTGTCCTGGGTGACGTAACAGGGATTGCTGTTGAGGAGTGAGCAGGAGTCCCCATGGTAGAGAGGCCAGGGCTGGGTGTACCTGCAGGGGCCGGCAGAAGCAGAGGTGCTGAGAGTGCAGGTGGCCAGGATGCCTAGAATGTAAAGGGGTGAGAGAGAGCAGCGAGGGCTGCAGGCCTAGGCTGCGACAGCCCGTGCTGAAGGTGTGCGTTAGGTTCTGTGGGCAGCAGGGGGGCTGGTAAGCAGCAGTGCGGCATGTAGGGTCGGCGTTGGCAGAGGTCAGCGCTCTGCGCGTGGAGGAGGCAGGATGGTCAGGTGAGGCGGTCATCAGAGGTAGCACCTGGGGCTGGTGGGGCGTCGAGGGCCTTGTGTGAAGGGTAGAAGTAGGGAAAGGAGAGCAGTGGGGGGTGCTGATGGCTTCACAGTGGGTCTTTTACTGAGTAGGGTGTCTTGGTGCCGTGAATTTCATTCTCTTAGCAGTGTATTCAAAGAGCAGAAGGTTTTTGGGGCACCTGGATGGCTCAGTCAGTTAAGCCTCTGACTCTTGGTTTCAGCCCAGGGTCTTGGGATTGAGCTGTGTGTCTGCTTCCCCTGTCTCCCCTTCTGCTCCTCACCCTGCTCATGCTCTCTTTCTCTCTCTCTAAAACAACAAATCTTAAAAGAACAAGTAGAAGTTTTTTGATGAATTTCAGTTTATGAACCCCCCCCCCACCACCAAAGATTTTTCTTTTGGTGTCAGTCATGGAGATTTTCTTCAGTTTTTTTTTCCCCCCAGAAATTTTAGAGTTTTAACCTTTACAATTAGGCCTGTAAATCATTTTGAGTTTTTGTATGTACTGTGAAGTATAGGCTGAAGTTTATTTTATCGCATGTAGATGTTCAGTACTATTTGTTGAAAAGACTGTCCCTTTTCCACTGAATAGACTTTGTCCCTTTGTTGAAAATCGATTTGCCATATAAGTTTTTTTTTTTTTAGGATTTTGTTCATTTATTTGAGAGAGAGGGAGAGAGCAAGCATGAGTGGGATGAGGGGCAGAGGGAGAAACAGATTCCCCACTGAACAGGGAGCCTGGGATCATGACCTGAGCTGTAGACAGATGCTTAACTGACTGAGCCCCGTAGGTATTTCCATGTGAGTTGTAGAATTAGTCTGGTCAGTTGTGTGTGTGTGTGTGTGTGTTTTTCTCAGCAAATGGCATGACTTTCCATTTTTGGTTGTCTATTATTAGCAAATAGAAATACAGTTGACTTTTTAATACTGACTTTACATCCTGTGTTACATCCTGTGTTCTTAACTGTTGACTTATTGATTCTAGTCCCAGTTGTAGGTTCTGTAGGATTTTCTACATAAACCATCATATTACCTGTGAATAAAAACGTTTTTACTGGGATCCCTGGGTGGCACAGCGGTTCCGCCTGCCTTTGGCCCAGGGCGCGATCCTGGAGACCCGGGATCGAATCCCACGTCGGGCTCCCAGTGCATGGAGCCTGCTTCTCCCTCTGCCTGTGTCTCTGCCTCTCTCTCTCTCTCTCACTGTGTGGCTATCATAAATAAAAAATAAAATAAAAAAAAAGTTTTTACTTCCATCTTTTCAATTTGAATGCCTTTTATTTTTTTTCTTGCCTTATTGCACTGACTAGACCCTCTACTATGATAGTGAATAGAAGTGGTGAGAACAGGTATCCTCACCTTGTTCCCTATTTTATTTTATTTTTTTAAAGATTTTATTTATTCATGAGAGAGAGAGAGAGAGAGAGAGAGAGAGAGAGAGAGAGGCAGAGACATAGGCATAGGGAGAAGCAGGCTTCATGCAGGGAGCCCGACATGGGACTTGATCCTGGGTCTCCAGGATCAGGCCCTGGGCTGAAGGTGGTGCTAAACTGCTGAGCCACCCGGGCTGCCCTTGTTCCCTATTTTATTTTATTTTATTTATTTATTTTTTATAAATTAATTTTTATTGGTGTTCAATTTACCAACATACAGAATAACACCCAGTGCTCATCCCGTCAAGTGTACCCCTCAGTGCCCGTCACCCATTCACCCCCACCCCCCGCCCTCCTCCCCCTCCACCACCCCTAGTTCATTTCCCAGAGTTAGAAGTCTTTATGTTCTGTCTCCCTTTCTGATATTTCTCACACATATCTTCTCCCTTCCCTTATATTCCCTTTCACTATTATTCATATTCCCCAAATGAATGAGAACATACACTGTTTGTCCTTCTCCGGTTACTGTGGCCAAGTTCAAAAAGGGTGTTGCCTGAGTTCTCCTCTGGGATTTTGATGGAATCTTGTCTCACATTTAGATCTTTCATCTATTTTGAGTTTATCTTTGTGTATGGTGCAAGAGAGTGGTCCAGTTTCATTCTTCTGCATGTGGATGTCCAATTTTCCCAGCACCATTTATTGAAGAGACTGTCTTTCTTCCAATGGATAGTCTTTCCTCCTTTATCGAATATTAGTTGACCATAAAGTTCAGGGTCCACTTCTGGGTTCTCTGTTCTGTTCCATTGATCTATATGTCTGTTTTTGTGCCAGTACCACACTGTCTTGATGAACACAGCTTTGTAGTACAACCTGAAATCTGGCATTGTGATGCCCCCAGATATGGTTTTCTTTTTTAAAATTCCCCTGGCTGTTTGGGGTCTTTTCTGATTCCACACAAATCTTAAAATAATTTGTTCTAAGTCTCTGAAGAAAGTCCATGGTATTTTGATAGGGATTGCATTATACATGTAAATTGCCCTGGGTAACATTGACATTTTCACGATATTAATTCTGCCAATCCATGAGCATGGAATATTTTTCCATCTCTTTGTGTCTTCCTCAATTTCTTTCAGAAGTGTTCTATAGTTTTTAGGGTATATTTTGAGAACCATTTGAATGGTAAATGGTTCTCCAACCTTTTATTTTCAGGTTGTAGGTGTCCTTCTGTCTAAAATGAGTCTCTTGTAGACAGCAAATAGATGGGTCCTGCTTTTTTATCCAGTCTGAAACCCTGCGCCTTTTGATGGGGTCATTAAGCCCATTCACGTTCAGAGTTACTATTGACAGATATGAGTTTAGTGTCATCATGATATCTATTTAGTCCTTGTTTTTGTGGATTGTTCCACTGAACTTCTTCTTAAAGGGGAGTTTTAAGAGTCCCCCTTAAAATTTCTTGCAGAGCTGGTTTGGAGGTCACATATTCTTTCAGTTCCTGCCTGTCTTGGAAGCTCTTTATCTCTCCTTCCATTTTGAATGAGAGCCTTGCTGGATAAAGTATTCTTGGTTGCATGTTCTTCTCATTTAGGACCCTGAATATATCCTGCCAGCCCTTTCTGGCCTGCCACGTCTCTGTGGAGAGGTCTGCTGTTACCCTAATATTCCTCCCCATGAAAGTCAGGGACTTCTTGTCTCTTGCTGCTTTAAGGATCTTCTCTTTATCTTTGGAATTTGCAAGCTTCACTATTAAATGTCGAGGTGTTGAACGGTTTTTATTGATTTTAGGGGGGGATCTCTCTATTTCCTGGATCTGAATGCCTGTTTCCCTTCCCAGATTGGGAAAGTTTTCAGCTAGGATTTGTTCAAATACATATTCTGGCCCTCTGGCCCTTTCGGCGCCCTCGGGAACCCCAATTAAACGTAGGTTTTTCTTCCTTAGACTGTCATTTATTTGCCTTAATCTGTCTTCATGGTCCCTTAATTGTCTGTCTCTTTTTTCCTCAGTTTCCCTCTTTGCCATCAACTTGTCTTCTTTTTTTTTTTTTTTTTTAAAGAGATTTTTTTTTTTTTTTTTTTATGATAGTCAGAGAGAGAGAGAGAGAGAGGCAGAGACACAGGCAGAGGGAGAAGCAGGCTCCATGCACCGGGAGCCCGACGTGGGATTCGATCCGGGGTCTCCAGAATCGCGCCCTGGGCCAAAGGCAGGCGCCAAACCGCTGCGCCACCCAGGGATCCCCCAACTTGTCTTCTATGTCACTCACTCGTTCTTCCACCACGTTAACCCTCGTCGTTAGGACTTCTAGTTTGGATTGCATCTCATTCAATTGATTTTTAATTTCTGCCTGATTGGATCTAAATTCTGCAGTCATGAAGTCTCGTGAATCCTTAATGCTCTTTTCTAGAGCCACCAGTAGCTGTAGAATAGTGCTTCTGAATTGGCTTTCTGACATTGAAGTGTAATCCAGATTTTGTAACTCTGTGGGAGAGAGGGCTGTTTCTGATTCTTTCTTTTGAGGTGAGGTTTTCCTTCTAGTCATTTTGCTCAGTGCAGAGTGGCCAAAAACAAGTTGTATTGGAACACGGGGGAGTATCACTGGTCCGTCTAGCTGGTCTTCTGGGGGAGGGGCCTGCTGTGCTGATTTTCAGGTGTTAGCACTTGGGGGAGCTGCTCTGCCCCTGCCTGCTGCCGGGCTCAGCGGGGGTTGTTTACCCCGTGGGGCCCCAGGAGGATCAGCTGCAGTTGCTATGGCAACTCTGGAAGCCTGGATTTAGCCTCCGCAGGAACTACGGGGCTCGGGGCTCTCGGTTCTCCGTCTACAGGGCCTGGAGGCTCCGGGGCGGGGCCGCTGATCTGCTCAGCTCGGGGCAGGAGCGTCCTTGCTGTCCTGGGCCCTCCCGGCCTCTGCCTGTCCCAGGGGGAGGCCGGATCCTGGGCTGTGTCCCGGCGCCCTGTGCTCCGGGGCCTGCGCTGTTGGATTCGCGCTCCCGCCCTGCAGCTCCCTCCCTGGAGCCGCTCCCGAGCCCCTCCGAGCTGCTCTGGTCCTGTGAGCGCTGCAGCCCTTAGGGAGCTCGGAGCACTCTCCTGCGCTCGCAGGTGTCTGTTAGTGTCCCAGGGAGCCCGAGGGCATCCCCGCTCTCCTGGGTCCTGCTCTAACTCCCTGCGAGCCCCTTTC